AAAAGAATGCCGGTGCTCCAGAATTTGGCGCAGAGGGAAGATGTGGTCGACACAACCTCGACCGGGTCCAAAACCAGCCTGGTAATTGTAATGAATTAGTCAGAGAAGACAAATCACTGAAAACAAGTCTTGTTCGCTGGATTGTGTTCTATTGAAGGTAGCGACACAAATCACTCGATCCGCATCAGTGCCTGAGCCAAATGAAAATCTCGTTATCCGAAACGAGGCATCACTTGAAATTTGATGGGACGACTGGCCCAATAGGCCCATGTATTTTCGAATGAAGACGAGCTCTGTCTAGCTTATTCGTTCGTTTAACAAAATGGACGGAGAAACTGAAACCTAATTTCGAACCACGCCTTCTTTCATTACAAAGCTGAAAATTCACCCGATGCTTGAATACTGCAGTCACGTATCGGGTGAAGCTTCGTATTCCACTCTTTCTATTCTTGACTGTGTCCAACGAAAAATCATCCAGCTGGTCAACGAACCGGCTTAAACTTCAAATCTGCAGTCACTTTCCCATGGGCCAGGCAATTGCTGTCATCTCTTTTCCACCGCTACTATTTTGGTTTCAGTTCTTCGGTACTCGCTTCAGTGGTTCCCTTACCCATGTTATGTTCTCGTTCATCCCACTCTCGGGCGAGCAATCACCGTTCTCAGATTTCTGTACCCAAATGTCCGACTTCTACGTTCCAGNCATCTGTGTGTACATTTCCAACACCTTATAATCTTACTCTTTTTAAAAGCAGGATCAACAAATTGGTTCTTATCACTTACGATATGTTTTCGACCGTGCGGTTTATATTGTATTGTATTGTAATAACTTCTGCAAGCACGAAGCCCACATTTCAGTTAAATATATACCTGTTGTCTGTAAATCATTTTGTGTGTAATAAAAAAAAAACAAATGGCGGACTTACGTGTATGGTTTCGGAAAAGCGAACCGTTCACGAAGATCGATTGCGTCCAGAAATGGTAGGTATTCTCGACCGTTGATGCTTGAGGTAGAGCGAAGTACTTTCAGCTCGTCGGCTGTATATCCACCAGAACCTTTGAGAAAAAAGCAGGATGAAAAATACATCGTAGTGTTACTCTGTTCTGAATGAGGGAAGACGAATAAACGACAAAATTTCAAGAGAAACAATAGATGATCTTTTCGCTATTGGTTAACCACATAACTGTGCAGTAACCGATCTGCAAGGTCAACGGATGAAGTACTTCAGTAGAGAAAATAAAATGGAACAGCTAACATGACTTTAGTCAACTGCATAATGCATGCATAGGAGAATATCGATAGAAAAATCATGACGAGTGTAAATAATGAAAATGAGCAGCACACAAAAGAGATGTGACGGATAACAAGGATAACAAGTCACAGAGGCAGATGAGAACAAACGGCCAGATTCACGCAAGACCCAGGGAGAAATTAGTTGATGGCAATCGGTAAAACCGATACAATAAAATATGGCCCAAAGTAGTATAGATCGAGAGGAATAACAGCAACATATGTAAGAACGCTTACCCACCTAGCCCCATCTTGTTAATACACATAAACAGTGATGGTGACCAAACGTTTTACGTGTCCTCCCTGAAGTGCTCTGTGTTAAGTTAAGAGGATTAGCGATAGACATCTCCACTGTCGTCAGGCTAAAACTACGCCTGTTCCACTGGGGCCCTTATGTGATTCGCTACTCCATGCACACACAGGCACAATCAGATGGTACCTCGGCCGCTGTAACCAAACAGTACTGCCTCGTGAATACCAATCTTGTCCCCTACCCTGTGAAGGTTATAATAAGCCGTAAGTGTCGTTCACAGACGAATGCCCCTATCCTAGTAACTTCAATTTTCACAAGGTGTACAGCAGTAAATAACAAATTACCCAATAGTCCGCACATCACAACATTTCTATGGACCCTTTTAAGCTCATAAGTGCTGTTCACCTCTACACACAAAATGATAAGTGGAATAATAAAATAACTGGGAATGAACTACCAACGCCCAAGATATCCATTCAGTATAGCAATGTTATTCTTAAGCAAGATCTGATTATGGTTCGCATATGTAATTTTCGTTTTTGCTAAGGCAAAAAGATTGTCTATATGCTCTGTCTTAAATTTTTCTCTGTAATTGTCGACCTTGTCAAACGGCATATGCATCCTTGTACTCCACACAACATGACTTTTCTTTAAGGGACAAGTAAAATGTACGGTAAGGAGTGTGAACCTCATTACCACAGAAATGGATGCTCACAGTAGCCCAACAAGTGTCAAATTTGAGCCTTATAAGGAGCGAGAGATAAACGCGGGTGAGAAAATGGAAATATTTCTGCATGGGGTCGATGTGAATTCAACGACGTGGGATACTCGCCTCACCATTCGGCCGACACAAGCTGCTTTGTAAACATCTAATTGAGTAGATAAACCATCGATGGGGCTAAGATTAACTTTATTATATTTTCTTATTATGAGCGAGCCTCTGACCACGTACGACAAACAGGATGCAATCAGGGTCACTCAAATAAATTTCATGACGAAGAAATCAGCCCACTGTTTGCTGGTCGGCTGGATACTGATAGATTGCCCAGATCAAAACAGTGGGACTCTTGGGCAATCGATAATGGGAACCTACGGCTGGCCAAAATCTGACGAAAGCATGGTGGTGCGTGAAAAAATCATGAAATCAGGGGCCGGGGTTCAGTCCATTGGATCAGACACACTTCAAACGGGGTAAAATGTTCAAAACAGCTGATACACCGCGAAGCCCGAGTAAACTGGAGACCAAAGTCACAATACGAAAGTTGTTTGAGTGGTTGTTTTAGAATCGGGGATTTTAGCCAAATCCACAGGTGAAATACCATCATCATCATCATCATCAGCATCAGCATCATCATCATCATCATCATCATCGTACAGCAAAATACAGTGAGGCAAACCTCAATGATCGCTGTCAAACTCACAATGCATGTGAGGTTAGCGGTAAAATTCAAGGTTCACAGAGAATGGACCCATTTGCTGGACGGGCGAAGATGGTGAACCTGTGGTTAACACACAGAGCACGCAATCTAACATACATGCATACGTACCGTTTCAGGCATTCCGGCCAGATAACAAACGACATCAAAAACGCCACTGCTGTTGGTTCGCTGCAAGATCCTTCAATATCTCCAACCAATCAGTTGTGGAGTCTTTCGGACTCCAACCTGGAAGGCGAGAGACACCTGCTATACCTATAT